GTTAGATGTGTAAGACCCTATATCTAGCTCTTGTGGTGTTAGTTGTGTAAGATATAGTTATATATATATTATATAATAGTTATATATTATATAGTTATTACATGTAAATATATTTTATTAAAAATCATACTTTATGCCCCATATCCAATCTCTCCCCATCCCCCCCCAATAACCCTAGATTTCGTCTATAAGGAAATGAAGGGTGCTCTGGGGATCACTTTCAAAAAATTTTTTTGAATGGGAAACCACACCCTTTGAAAGGGGGGGCATTTGGTGGCTCTTCTAACCAGCTCAGAAAGATAACCACTCAAACATCTTGAAGAATTAAGAGTATAAAAAACATATCTGAATCTCAAAGTGTGATTATAGTCAGATTAATTTTCCTAAAACACAGCTTTCTTTTAAAAAAAAAGTCCGTATCCCAGTGCTTATGGAATTAAGTGGTTTGGTCTTGGTCAGGTATTTAAGTACTCCTTAGTATAGCCCTAAAAATCCATTACAGCCTTACTTTTTTTTTTTTTACTGTTTTGCTGCTGTATCGCAAGTTCCAGCCTACTGTTCCTTTAAAATGCTCCTGTTTTAAATTTCTGCCTCAATGTCTGCCTCCCATCTTTCAAGACTCATCTCAGGTGATACCTTCTTCACCGCACCTTTTCTGATTCTTAGAAATTCTCCTAGCAAATGTTCCTGCTACTTATGTGATGGAACATATCTCATTCTGTCCCATGAACTATAGTTATTAGTGGTATTTTATTCACCCTAGTAGATTGTAAGTTACCTAACAAGCATGGGCCATCTATTTGTTACTCATTGTTATATTCTCTGAATCATCTAGAAGAGTGCTTTGTACATAGCGGTTCTTTAATATATACTTATTAAATTTTATGTTTCTTGACTTTAAAAGAACCCTTATACCATGTGTAGAATATTTGTCCAAGTTTACTGCCAAGTATGTAGAGACCAGCAAGTAGAAATCTTGAGTTAGGGAGAAGCTGTGGTGTTGAAGGAGGGCTGTTTGTGTGGTCTGCCTTTCTGTTTGGAATTGATAGTATTTAAGATCACCACTGCTGGTAACACCAATTCCTTGACCATATCATTTTCCTGTTTATGTGGCAAGGTTAATGTCAAAATGATTCAAGTGTTAGGTGGCAAGTAATTTTAGCATCCAAGAAAATTTGAATACCTTTAAAATAGTAACAACTGGATTAAGTTATTAAATATGTAAGATTCATGTCCATATAAATGTACACTTTTTGAGAAAAAAGAAAGCATCCTACTCTTTACCAGTTTCTGCTAGTATTAAGAAAGCATGAATAAAGTTGAGAAGAAACCAGTTAGCTCAGAGTTAACTGTTTCTTTGGAGTGGGGTGCTGATGGTAAAGACAAGTTAGTTATAGGGCTGGCTAACCAAGTATAATAGAGCACACATTGAGTGATGTCTAGCATGGCATTGTGTACTACTAGATTAAGCTGTCGATTAACTATCTTTTACTTATTCTATTCTCTCTACTGAAATAATCTAAAATTTTTATTTGGTTCTGTAATATGACTTTCTGCTTATGTTTAAAAACAGGTATAGGGATTCATAATATTTCAGACTCGAAAGAGCTGACACAAAAGGAATTGGAAGGTTTTTAGCCTCATAGTTTAGTCTTACTTAATTTCTCTGCTTTCTTTGTCATTTCTGAGATGTAGACTAGGGTGCGCAAGTCTAATTTAAGGCAAATTTATTCTAAGTGCTCATGTTTTCTGGGAAAAAGAGGTAATATAAATGATGTAGAGTAAAATGCCCAGCCTTCCATCTTCTGCTAGGATAGAATAAACGGATCCTTGTGCATTGTTAAGTGGGACAATCTCAGTAAGCTCTTAGATTTGTAAAAGTGACATGACTTATTTTCAGTATTTTTCTGGGATATCAGAAAATAACGAGAACATCATAAACTAGATTATTTTCATGTGATGAGCACATGTCGTGAGCTATTGGATGACAGATGCTATTAACCTATGTCAGCGTTGTGAGAATTGAAGGTCTGTCCATAAGGGGTGCCCTTGTTTGTTACTGTAAGAGGATGTCACCCATTTTGATTAGCTCAGCATCTTAAAAATGTTTTCACCCATTATTGGGAAATAAATGTTTTCGCATATTACAGTTTTTTACTCCTGAGCTTTGTCTAGAAAGACTACATGTGCGGCTGACTGTATAAGAGGCAGTGTGAAGCAATGTGTATTTTTTAACAACAGCTTGCTGAAAGGAATTTTTTTTTCTTCTATAAAGAGATTCTTGAAGGTTGAAGTTGAAGATGTCAGTATTAAAATAACTTTTAGGCTTTTTGTGATTGAAGGCAATCATTCTAAGTTGCATACAAATAAAGTAGAAACACCTTTTTTCTTTTTTATTATAGGTGGCTTTCTAGAAGATGACCATAGAGGACCTTCCAGATTTTCCATTAGAAGGAAATCCTTTGATTGGAAGATACCCATTTTTACTTCCAGGTTCTGATACACCAGTTATCTTTTCCATTTCTGCAGCACCAATGCCTTCAGACTGTGGTATGTTAAGTAGCTGTGCTTATAAACTTGTAACTTGACCTCTGTCTTATGCCCTTTTTGTACTCATAATTTTTCCAAGAACTGTTTGCGGTGGTTTTTATAAAATTGCTAAAGTTTTCTTTTATCAAAAATACAATTACTTATTGCTTTTTCTGCCTCTTAAGCTAAAAGCTTTATTTCAGCTGTCAGCATTTTTATTATGTAAAAATATTCATCTTAAGCACCATCATGGATTTAGAGGATTTTATTTTTAGAATGCAATGGCGCTTAGACATCTAGCATTCTTCTGCTATTGATGTATTTATTTTGATTAAATGTACTGACTTGCTAAAAAGCCATGTACTTAGGCAGAGGGGGTAAGAGACTCTTCTCTGGAATGTGGAATTAGATTGGTTCATGTTTAAATTGTTCCATTTAAATCTCTTGTATAAAATGTTAATTTAGGGCCGGCCCGGTGGCGCACTGGAGAGTGCACCGCTTGGGAGTGCGGTGGCGCTCCCGCCAAGGGTTCGGATCCCATGTGGAGACCGGTTCCCGCGGGATGCGGGCGCAACACCGAGGGTTGTGATCCCGTTGCCGGTCACCGGTATGGGCGTGACACCGAGGGTTGCGATCCCGTTACCGGTCAGTAAAAAAGACAAAAAGGAAAAAAAAAATGTTAATTTAGAAGCATTCCAGTTTTCACTTATTTAAACTTATTTCCCCAGCACCATATTTTTATCAGATAGTGGATAAGTGAATAGAAGAAAACCAGGAGATAAATTCAATAGAATTGTTACATTCCTAATTTAGACAGAGTTTTTCAAGAAAAATATTGGTTTACCATTTCAAATTGTCTTTGGAGGTAAAGATAACATTTTAAAATATTAGTAGATAATGACATTACAGGATTGGAAATTTATCTTTTTAGTTATATTCATTCTAGTAATTCCATATCTCCAAGTGTCCTGTTTGTTTAGTATTCAGATTCTATAGCAGCTTACCTATAGCAGTTGTCAGAAGTGTTACATAAAACCTGTACCTTGATCCTAGGAGTTATTTTCAGCTGTTACAAAAATCGACTGGGTTTGTTTTCAGATACAACAAAATCAGTTATGTGGGTGAAACCTTGAACTAAAGCACTTTGTAACTTGCTTGTTCTATCTTGCATTATAATTGTGTTATTTCCTTTCCAAGACTATAGCTTTCTGAGATAGAGTAGCAGTTGTGTTTTATTTTTGTTTATAACATAAAAGGTGATATAGTCATTCATTGATATTAGTTGCTCAATCAATATTTGTTGAATAAATACATTGAATGAAAGGTGATAATGGATATTGGTCCCCTTGTATAACTGAAATTAAATGTTGTCTGTATTCTCAGAATTACAGATTCTTAGAATCTGTATGTACTAATAAATTCAACTTTCCCTTCTCACCACCCAATATAGAAATTCTGTTTTCTTCAGTAGTTAGAAACTAATAAAATAGTGGATTTCATTGTTAAAAATCTTTAGTTGTAATAAAATTATTTTTGTGCGTAGACTCAAAAAGTACATCTCCCTGAAACTTTGGCCAGCTGGTACTAATTTGATATGTGGAACAAATACTTCTTTATGTGATAGCCTTCAAGTATTTGAAGATAATTTGAACATTTTATTTCTTCTTTAAGCTACACATTTCTAGTTCCTTCATCAGTCCCTCATCATCAGGATTTTTAGACCCTTTTCATCCTAGTTGTTTTCTTGATATGCTGTAGTCAGTGTCCCCTTAAAAAGTGGCATACGGAATTGCATTTACTGAACAAATATTTATTGAAGGCCTCTTATGTGCTAGATACTGTCCTGGATGCTGAGAATACCACAGTAGTTAAGACAGATCTTCTAGTGGGAAGACAATAAACAAAAGCAGATGAATAAACAAAACAAAATAGCATAAGGAGTTCTTTGGAGAAGAGAAACAGGGTGCTGTGATAATGGTGGCAGGGTGGCTGTTTGAGATGGGGCCGGTCATCTGAAGAATCAGAAGAAGCCAGTCATGAGAAGAGCCTGGGAAAGAGTGTTCTGGGAAGAACAGAAAATTAAAGGCATAGAGTTGGTGTATCCTACGAATTCATGGAAGGCCTCTGTGGCTGAGAAGAAAGCGATTGAGGCGCAGAGTGAGAGGACTTGAAATTGGAGAGTCAGGCAGGGGCCAGATCATGCAGGGTCACATAGGCCTTGGTAAGGAATTTGAAGACTGACTAATGAGATTATAATCAAGAAACAAACCAGTCCACACAAACCAGAGCTTAGGCGTGCAGCTCAGTGTTGACTCTCAAGGTGGTTACTCTGTAAGATTATATTACTGTCTTTACACAAAGATTTTTGGAATCTTTTCCTTTGAAATGCCTCCAGAGCCAGTTCACACAGAACACACATTACATATACCTTATACCCACTATACCTTATTATTATTTTTGTTTAAACAGTGAATTATCTGTTAAAAAATTTTAAATAATAAGATCTTATTTACCCATGTACAGTCATACACCACTTAATTATGGAGATATGTTCTGAGAAATGTTAGGTGGTTGTGTAATCCTTCTGGTTGGTTCGTTCCCTTATTTCAGGTATTTCCTCACAAGCATGTGCTGAATACTTGAGGAGGACGTTCCAGGGATCTCAGGGGCTCTCTTGCAGTACATCTCTCTTCTCTCTGGTACTGTGCCCTTCACATCTGGCTGTTTTGATTTCCCTGGACTCTCAGCTCTGTCTTCTCAACTCAGAAAGTCTGCTGGGCCTCTTCTTGGCTCCTTCTCCCTGCACTGTGGCCTGGAGACTGTCCCAAGGCAGTGACCTGGGTCAGTTGTAGGACTCACCTTGTTTGTATCCCATGCTTCAGGGATCACTGTCTTTCATTGGCTAATACCCACTGTCTTGAAAACCATTGTTTATTTTTTCTCATGTTTTGGTCGTTTCATATGGAAGGGCAAATTTGATCTGTGTTACTCATTTTGACTTGAAGCAGAGACATCTTCCCCATTTTCTCCTCCCACCCTACTTTGTTTTGATTAAAACTAATTTTTTTATATAGAAGTTTAAAATTCAAATGTAGTTAGATATGTTAATATATTGCATTATAGCATAAAGGTTAAGATAATGGGTCATTCTAGCCTTAATCCTAGTTAATCACTTAACAGTTGTATGAACTTGGGCAAATTGCTTATTTTCTCTATTCCTTTCTTTCTTCTTTAATGAAATGAGAATAACAAAGTACCTACCTCATATGGTTGTTATGAAGATTAAATAAGTTTGTCTACATAAATTTATAGAACAGTCCCTGACATGTGTTGAGCACTTAATAAGTATAACCTGTTATCATTATTATTTAAATGAGCTGCCTGCTATTTTGCTGTTACCTCAGTATTTAATTACTGAAGCATTGTTGTATGCTTTAGTATTCACTGGGCCAGTGTCCTCCAGCCATTACTTGTCTTTGTTCAAAAGTTCTTGCTTATTTCTCTTACATTTACTTTCTAGATGTTTGCCACTCAAAGTGTGGTCCTTGGTGTAGCAACACTGGCATCACTGAGAGCCTGTTAGAAATGCAGTCTCAGGCTCCACCTGAGACTTACTGGATCAGAATGTACATTGTAACAAGATCCCTAGGTGATTCCTGTCTATATTAATATTTGAGTACCTCTGGCACAGATGAACAAGAGAATAATTTTCTCTATTTTGTCTCACATGCAAATCTTTGTGAAGTTTTGATTAGAATTGAAATTATTTAAAAGCTTGTTCTTAGGAGAATTGACAGCTTTAAATATTTTATCTTCTAATCCAGGAACATGATGTGACTATTTCCATTTAAGTTTCCTCTCCTGTCCTTTAGTTTTCTTTAAATAAGCCTCACAGATTTATTGGCATGTTTGCTATTTTTGTTATTGTGTATAGGGTCTTTTTTCCCCATTGTATTTTTTTTAACAGGAAAAAACTTTTAAATGCAGAAAATACAATGATAAAAAACATATATATGAGGGTACTTGAAAAAGCTCACGGAAATATTTGTATTATCTTTTCATTCTGTTTTTCCATGAACTTTTTGAAGTATCCTAGTGTGCCACACATATTCACCATCAGAATGAACAAATATCAGCATTTTGTCATATTTAGCTCTTGTGTTTTAGTTAAAAGAAATAAAACCTTAAAGATAAAGTTGAAATTTCCTTCCAATTCTTTTCTAGTCCCATCCCCTTGCTTCCGAGAGGCAACCACTATCTTATATTTAGTGTGAACATTTCAGACCGTGTTGTTATACTTTTACTAAATGTATTGTTTACTACATGTAAACAATTTATAGTATTGTTTTGTATACTTACAATTTTATGTAAATGATAGATATTTATATATCATTTTACAACTTAACTTATTCACTATTGTTTTTTGAGAGCTATTCTTGTTGATACATGACTTTACTAATTCATTTATTTAATTGGAAATAAGTATAGAGTCCATCCTATGAATATACCATATTCTTTTTTTTTTTTTTTTTTTTTTTTTTTTTTTTTTTCTTTTGTCTTTTTTCCGTGTCCGGCCACGGATCGCAACCCTCAGGGTTGCCCCCGTACCGGACAGGGGACCGGCAAGGCGATTGCACAACTCGGCGTTGCTCCCGCGCCTCGCTCAGCCAGTGAGCGGGAACCGGTCTGTATGTAGGATCCGAACCCTCTGGCGGGAGCGCCGCCGCGCTTCTCAAGCGGCGCCCTATCCAGTGCGCCACCGGGCCAGCCCTGAATATACCATATTCTATCCATTCCTCTATGGAGAGATATTTCAGTTTTCCAATTTTTTTTCCTATTGTAATCAGTGCTGGAATAAGCATTCTGGTAGACACATGAGTCTGTTTAGGCATATATTCAGAAATTTCACTAGAAATGCCCAACGCCTAGAAAAGTGAATAAATATTTAGTGAATGGATGAATGAATTTGACTAAAAGAAAATTCAGTTAACTGATAAAAAACACGCTCAAATCTGTGTTCA